TTCCCCCCCCCCCCCAAATAAAATAAAAGAACAGCGTGGGAGCCTTCCATGCAAGGCAAACGGGTGTTCTGAAAATGGAGTTCATTGTCCTTACACTGCACACGCATCAGTCAATAACTGAAACACACCCAACTGGTTTTATTCAAGAAAACCGGCTGCTTTTTTTTTATATTTGCCCGACAATGCAAGTAAAATATGAATACAGTACTGAACACGGTTTGCCTCTGGAGGCCAACTGATACACGAGACAAAAATGTTTCGAACGAGGAGAATATCAACTTTCGAGATCGATTCAACGAATTTTTGTTGCACAGAACAGAATAATTGCCAATAATTCTGTAAATTGTTGACAGGTGACAACACAGCTACATTTTCGACGTCTACGGTTAATGTAAAAAATTAGAAATTTAAAAATCATAAATTTCAATCGATCATTGCCTTTAACTGATGCCAATTCACCCGAGCTAGGAACAACAGCTTATTTGCGTCCACAGTCTTCGTTCAAAAGCTGTGGGAACATCGTCAAGAAAATATACACGCTTTACACGAACAAAATGAAATAACCAATTGTAATTCATAATTGAAAAGAAAATCATTCAAATAATTTCTCCGCTGAAACCATCATTTGACGGGAACGGATTTCTTGCTTTCATTTTCTTTTTGTTTTCAACCCGCATTGCAAACTCTTCCGCGTCACGCAGTTTCGGTCAACGGATTCCCTGTTTGTCGATATAAAATCTGAGGGTTTCACGAGACGGAAGAGAGAATGTAATCTTGAATCAACCGCTCGACAAGGCGACATCCGGCCCAAGTTGATCGACGTCACCGCGCAAATATTGACGCAGACGTCGAGTGCGACGGGAGACGCTATACTGGCTATAGCTACCCCTCGCCAAACGGTGTACAGTACAGTGCCGTACCCCGATTTCACTTTTATACCCACTCCACGTAATTTCGGGACTTGCTCAAAGCCCGATTTCCTTCAGCAATGTCTGCTTTTTATTTATTTATTTTCTGATTCTCAATGCAAATTTCCGTCGCCGGGTCAATACAAGGATGAGAAATGAGAGCAACAGAAAGAGAGCGAGAAGGAAAACATCGCTTTTACGCGCGATTTTCTGTCGGGGAAAAAAAAGGGACGAGAAATCCTCGCGTAAAATCGGCTTTTGTTCGACGAAGCAAAACTTTCAACTACGGAATAACCTCGAGGGAAATTTGATTCAAATTTCATGAAGACGTGGCAGCAAAACTAAACGTTACGTGAAACTTTAAGGTTATTCGATTTGCTTGTCCACGTCGGTATGGTACAATTATTCGTCAGTTCGCAAACAAGGCTGCCTTAAATTTTAATAATAATAATTGCACAATTTTATTAATAAAACTCTAGTGAGTTAGTATGGAAGGAAAATCACAGATTTGCACGAGCAGAGGAAATTTTTACACCTCATCAGAAGCCGCGAAATTTCAGCTAAAAAAAACTCCGGTATTCAAATAAAGAGCATCTCCGCAGAAAACGTAGAATATTTCGAATTGGCATAAACAAGACTTCATTTCACTTTTCAAACTCTCCTCATTCAAATCCTCGAATCCCGATGAATTACTTGATTTCCTTGGTACAGTACAGTACAATATCGCAGTACAGTACAGTATAAGAGTTTCATTGCCATACACTCACAACGAACGTTTCTCAACCTCTAAAACGGGTTATAAAACAACATCAACTTCCATTAAAGAAAAGATTGCCCATGTAAAAGTGTGCGTTAAAAACATTTTTCATATCTGTCTGAT